ACGAGTTACCAGTATTTTGACAGTTGACAACATGACTCTCACCCATTAAATGCCTCAAAGACCTCTACAATTCTACTAATGGATTGCATCTTCCTTAAACTGACTAATGAAATAATATTTACTATACCGGGATAGTAGGAATTCTATAGTTGGAGAGAATATTGGGAATTTTTTAGCAAAGAAATTGCCAGTTCCTTCCTAAAATTTCAACACTCTGAAAATGTTGACTGGTGTATGTGTTGAAGATGGGCAACTTATGATGACACTGTCACTTTTTCCTCCTCTCAAAATTTCAGTAGACTTTTCTGTCAGCTCCAGAAAAAATTACAGCTGGCTCCTCTGATCACCAGTGAATCACCTGGCCCACACATCAAGCATTGCCTCCTCCAGGGTAGAATGCAGCATGAGATGTTATGAAGAATTAATTACTATTGCACAGGTAGATTAAAACCACTTCCTAAGACAACAGTCTGCTTCTGCTTTTCCCTATATTTTTATAATTTTTTAACAGAAAAGAGTGGATAAGTTTCCCCCAAAAGTGACCAATACAAAGCAACACTGTGACTTTGGTGAGAGACTTGTACCAGCTGCTGTTAAAGTTGATCTCCACTTGACAAATGATAGCTCTCCTGTGAGCCATAGCCATTTTACTCCAAGGACTAGCTGTGATCTTTCCCGTGTTTCTGGCACTAGCTGACCATGATAATACCAAGCTTTGGAACTCCAGTTTGAGAAATTGCTGGTATTGTCTGCAAGTGTCACAATCACATTATCGTCCATAAATGGCAGTGTATGGAGGAACTTCTTGGGGCCCTTCTCACTCGCCACGGTCTGTCCCTTCTGCTTTGGTCGTGCTTGATGCTGTACAGGGAGTACAAATGTGGCTTGATTGGATTAAGGCCTTTATTTCTGTGAGGTCTGCTGCTATTCACTGAGGTTTAATTAAATTTGTGACCTCCAAGTGGTCAGGGAATGTGTGTCAAGTCAGGCACATAGGAAAACTGATTCATTCTACGAAAGCTTTGTAGGTGGACAATGCCATTTGAATCTTTCATGACACCGATACCAAGAGAAGAGCCACAGCATCATCAAGTATTATGCTTTTACTCAGCCTCTGGGACAAAGGTTTAAGCTGGGAAGGTTCAGGAGTCCAGGTGAAGGCAAGTTTCTCTTTTTATCTGTCTCTAGTTCCTGCCGGTTTTCTCCAGTTACACAGGGGCAGTGAAACCCTTCCTGAAACATTGCATCACCTGGCAAAAGCTGCGGTGCCTGTGGCAGCAGAGGTTTGATACAGCCTCTGCCTTCCTTCACACCCCAACACTCAGGCACTGGCAACTCCCTTCCTCAGGGTAATCCTCTCCATCACCCACCCTCCTCTTGGTCTCCTGTGTGCCCAGGGGCTCTGCCTTGCAACAACACCTCGCGGAGAAAAAGAGGAGCAGAGGAGGCCACTCTCCATGCACATAAGGTTTCTCTATTGCTGGAGGCAGAGGCAAACAGAGTCTGCAGGGGAAAGATGCAAAGCAGAGCTCAAAATTAGTCCTGTGGACTTGTGGACTCCCAAACCCTGGCAGTGTTCAAAGCCAAGTTGGATAAGGCCTTGAGCAACCTGGTCTAGTGGGATGTGTCACTGCCCGTGGACAGATGATCTTTAAGGGACTGGATGACCTTTAAGACCCGTTCCAACCCCTTAACATTCTATGACTTTGGGGCCTCAGCACATAGTAATTTTGGTAGCAATGGGTAGGGCACACTTTTCAGATTGCATCCCTGCCGTGGTCTAATTGCATTCACCATCACTACCTCAAACCATATGGGAGACCTGGGATGAGTTCAGCAGTAATATATTCCAATCAACTACTCTGGAATTATTCTTCTACTTTGGCAGCAGGTAGTCCTCCTATCTCAGCTGGAAGAAAACTTTCTGCCTGGTTTTGTAGAGAGCTGATGTGTGACCTGTTGCTGTTCACGACAGTATGTTAAGGACTCTTTCAGCAGCAGGAATTTCATTAGCAGCAGAGACAGAACAGGGATGTTGCTTCCAGGAAGATGGCTTGAAGCCTGTCCTGTCTGAGAAAGCATCTCTTTGAGTAGAAGAGAGAAGACAAAGCAAATGTGACTGTCCTAGTTAGGACAGCTGAGATCAGTTCATCATGGTGGGTGTAACCCAAAACTGTATTCTATAGCCTTCCATGTCATTTCCCTGAAACTAGACTATTGTTGTCAATAGACTATTCGCACCCTCTACCCATAGAGCCTGACTCCTCAGGCTATAAACTAGGTGTTAAGAGGCCTGTGAGCACCCTCTACCCATAGAGCCTGACTCCTCAGGCTATAAACTAGGTGTTAAGAGGCCTGTGAGATAGGAAGATGTTTCTGTCCTCACACCCTTTGTGAAACTCCCCGCCCTGAGGGGAGCACTGAACATTCCTGCCTGAACTGGAGGATATATAATCTTGGAGTTTTGGAACATTTTTCAACCCACTCGTGGGATCCAGAGGACGGCTGCAGCTCATCGCTCTCAACCAGACTTAGACCACCACTGGACTGCGATCACCAGTTCTGGCCAGACTGCAGCAGCTCTCCCACCAGCAGGCCCTTCCCCTCTCCCTTTACTTTGGACTCAAACAGGGCCCAAGGAACACCACTTTGTTCATGCCCCAGGGTACTGGGTTATACATTTGGGTTTTTGTGGGTTGAGACCAATTGTTTGTTTGTATTATTGTACTTACTGTATTATTTTAATAAATTGTTATTCTGACTTATAATCTCTCCTTTGAGTTGGGTTCATTCCCCCTGCTGGTTAACTTTTAAACCAGCACATTTTTGGCGCCCAACGTGGGGCAGAGAGAGAGAAGTCAGAATCACAATTTCATTTGAAGCATTTGTCTATTTGAATATAGAAACTCCCTGATCACCATGTTGTTTGATGCACTCACATGGATGTTGTATTTGAGCCTGTTCATATTTCCACAGATGACGTATTATTTGCCTGTTTTGATGCTCTCTTTAAGACCAGGGAGAGGGATCCAAATTGCTTTATTAGTATATTATGTTTATGTCATTCTAACATCAGAAGCAATGAGTTTCATTGTAAATGTGTATTCAGTCCTGTTTGCCTGTCCTGGTTTGGGTTGCTACCTCTGGGGCCTCATTAAAAATCGTACCCAGCTTTTTGGGGGAACAGGGGGGGATGGTTTCCAGCCTCCCACCTCCTTCTTCCCCTTCAGACCTGCTAAAACAGTTTTTGAAAATATTGAGTTCCCTTTTGATGTTAAGGACAGCATAATGTTATTGTTAGTGTTGCTCTGTCTGCTCTGTACTGTGTACACCATGTTTAGGGTCAGAAAAGTGCCTTTTAGGGAGGTTGGTTGGACACCTGCCCTGGGAGCAGATAATGCTGAGTGGCACGGGAAGTGGGAGGACATCAACCAGTATTTGGAAAAGTTTTCTCCTCCATTGATCTGGAAATTCACCCCTGAACAACTGCAGGATCCTGTTAGCATGATAAGACTGGTGAAGGAAAAATGCTCTGGCAGCTCCAGAGATGGCCAGCTCACAGCAACCTGCTGGGCCCTGGCCACTGCCTACCGGGCACTGCTTGACATGATACAGCACTGTCAGGGCGAGGAGAGAAGGACCAAATCCGCAGACACCACGTCCACCCAAACCACAGCTGAGTCAGAGGGAGAAAGAAATGAACCAACCAGCACCGTGTCCACACAAACCATCGAGGAGCCAGAAGAACAAGCAAAACCAATAGCAGTCGGCCCTGTCCAGAAAAGGAAATCAAAGACTAAATCAGTTCGCATAGCAAATGATGACGAAGAGGCGGGACCTTCACATCCACCGGAGGAGACAGAGCCAGAAATAATCACTCGGTCCCTATCCCTGGGTGAGCTACGTGAGCTCCGGAGAGAGTTCACACGACAGGCGAACGAGTCCATTCTGACCTGGCTGCTCCGAATCTGGGATGCCGCAGCTAACGATACGATCCTAGATGGGAGTGAAGCCAGACAGCTGGGATCCCTGTCTCGAGGTGTAGTCATTGATCAGGGGATTGGAAGGAGGCAGGAAACTCTCAGCCTCTGGCGGCGACTGTTGTCCAGTGTGAGGGAGAGATACCTTTGCAAGGAGGACCTCCACGTACAGCAAGGACAGTGGAACACGATGGAACAAGGTATCCGGTGCTTAAGGGAGTTAGCTGTACTGGAGATAATCTTTTCAGAGGATGAAAGATTCCCTAAGAGTCCAGATGGCGTACAGTGCACCTCCCAAATGTGGTTAAAGTTTGCACGACTCGGGCCAGAAATGTATTCCCGCTACTTAGCAACGCTGCAATGGAGGGAGGGAGAGGACAAGGTGGGAGCATTGGTTAGCAAACTCAGGATTTATGAAGACACTGTCACCGCCCCATTACGAGCCCACGTCTCATCTGTGGAAACCAAACTGGCTGAACACGTCTGAAGCCTAGAAGAGAAAATTGAAGAGGGACACCAGAAGCTAAGAGAAGAAATTAAGGAAGGGATTTTCCATATCTCGCCAGGACGAACAAGAGTCTCTGCTATCAGGAGCCAGCGTCCCCCAGCTAAGGAGAGAAGGTACACTCCACGTGGCGATCTATGGTTTTACCTCCGTGAGCATGGAGAAGATATGAGGAAGTGGGATGGGAAACCCACCTCTTCCTTAGCAGCCCGGGTACGTGAACTGAAAAGAGGAACAAATACCATAAAGAACTCTTCAAGGGTGAACGTTGCTCCAGTCTCTCGTGGGCAAGACTCCAGACGGTACAGGAATGATGATACGTCTGATCCTCTTGAAGGGACCTCCAGGTCATACCCACAAGAAGAGCACAATGAGTACCATGACCAGGACTAGGGGTGCCCTGCCTCTAGCCAGGTAGAGGAGAGGGACAATCGAGTCTATTGAACTGTGTGGATTCGGTGGCCTGGCACATCAGAGCCACAAAGATATAAGGCTTTAGTGGACACTGGCGCACAATGTACATTAATGCCATCAAGATACGTAGGGGCAGAATCCATCTCTATTTCTGGGGTGACAGGGGGATCCCAACAGCTGACTGTACTGGAAGCTGAAGTGAGCCTGACTGGGAAGGAATGGCACAGACACCCCATCGTGACTGGTCCAGAGGCCCCGTGTATCCTTGGCATAGATTACCTGAGGAGTGGGTATTTCAAAGACCCAAAAGGACTTCGTTGGGCTTTTGGCATAGCTGCAGTGGAGACGGAGGAAATTAGACAGTTGAACACCTTGCCTGGTCTCTCAGAGGACCCCTCTGCTGTGGGACTGCTGAAGGTTGAAGAACAATTGGTACCGATAGCCACAGCAACAGTGCACCGTCGGCAATACCGCACCGACCGGGACTCTGTGACCCCTATACAAAAGATGATCCGTGAACTGGAGACCCAGGGGGTGGTCAGCAAGACTCGCTCACCCTTTAATAGCCCTATATGGCCAGTGCGTAAATCCAGTGGAGAGTGGAGGCTGACAGTGGATTACCGTGGACTCAATGAAGTCACACCACCCCTGAGTGCTGCTGTGCCGGACATGCTGGAGCTCCAGTACGAGCTGGAGTCCAAGGAAGCCAAGTGGTATGCCACCATTGACATAGCCAATGCCTTTTTCTCCATTCCTTTGGCAGCGGAGTGCAGACCACAATTTGCTTTCACTTGGAGAGGTGTGCAGTACACCTGGAATCGACTGCCTCAGGGGGGGAAACACAGTCCCAGCATTTGCCATGGACTGATCCAGACTGCACTGGAAAAGGGTGAGGCTCCAGAGCACCTACAGTACATTGATGACATCATTGTATGGGGGAACACAGCGGGCGAAGTCTTCAAGAAAGGAGAGAAGATAATCCAGATTCTCCTAAGAGCCGGTTTTGCCATTAAACGGAGTAAGGTCAAGGGACCTGCTCAGGAAATTCAGTTCCTAGGAGTGAAGTGGCAAGATGGACGCCGCCTAATTCCAATGGAGGTGATTAACAAAATAGCAGCCATGTCCCCACCAACCAGCAAGAAGGAAACACAGGCTTTTCTAGGCGCTGTGGGCTTTTGGAGGATGCATATCCCCGAGTATAGTCAGATTGTAAGCCCTCTCTACCTTGTGACACGGAAGAAAAATGATTTCCAGTGGGGCCCCGAACAACAACAAGCCTTTGAACAAATTAAACAGGAGATTGCCCATGCGGTAGCCCTTGGGCCAGTAAGGACAGGACAGGACGTGAAGAACGTGCTCTACACCGCAGCCGGGGAGAATGGCCCTTCTTGGAGCCTCTGGCAGAAAGTGCCTGGGGAGACCCGAGGACGACCGCTGGATTCTGGAGTCGGGGATACAAAGGATCTGAAGCCAGCTATACACCAACTGAGAAAGAGATCCTGGCTGCCTATGAAGGAGTTCGAGCTGCCTCAGAAGTAATCGGCACCGAAGCGCAGCTCCTGGCACCCCGACTACCAGTGCTGGGCTGGATGTTCAAGGGAAGAGTTCCTTCCACACATCATGCCACCGATGCCACATGGAGTAAGTGGATGGCCCTGATCACGCAGCGAACCCGGATAGGGAATCCTAATCGCCCTGGGATTCTGGAAATTATCACCAATTGGCCCGAAGGTGAGAGTTTCGGACTATCCTCTGAAGAAGAGGAGGAGAAGGTGACACGGGCTGAGGAGGCCCCACCATATGACAAGCTACCCGCAGATGAAAGGCGATATGTGCTCTTCACGGATGGCTCCTGCCGCATTGTAGGGACAAACCGAAAATGGAAGGCAGCTGTATGGAGTCCCACACGGCGAGTTGCAGAAGCGACTGAAGGACAAGGTGGGTCAAGTCAGTTTGCAGAGCTTAAAGCCGTTCAGTTGGCTTTGGATATAGCTGAACGAGAGAAGTGGCCAAGACTCTATCTCTACACTGACTCATGGATGGTGGCCAATGCTCTGTGGGGATGGCTGGAAAGATGGAAAAAGGCCAACTGGCAGCGCCAAGGGAAACCCATCTGGGCGGCGGAGATGTGGCAGGACATCGCTGGCCGGGTAGAGAAGCTGAGTGTGAAGGTCCGTCACGTAGACGCTCATGTAGGCAAGAAACGGGCTAATGAGGAGCATCGTAACAACGAGCAGGCAGACCGAGCTGCCAGGATTAAAGTCTCTCAGGTAGATCTGGATTGGCAGCACAAAGGAGAATTATTTCTGGCTCGATGGGCCCATGACACCTCCGGTCACCAGGGGAGAGATGCAACATACAGATGGGCTCGTGACCGAGGGGTGGACTTAACCAAGGACATTGTCTCACAGGTCATCCATGACTGTGAGACATGTGCTGCCATCAAGCAGGCCAAGCGGGTGAAGCCTCTATGGTATGGGGGACGGTGGTCAAAGTACAGGTATGGGGAAGCCTGGCAAGTTGACTACATCACGCTCCCCAAAACCCGCCAGGGTAAGCACTACGTACTGACCATGGTAGAAGGAAGCACTGGATGGTTGGAGACATACCCCGTGCCTCATGCCACTGCCCGGAATACCATCCTGGGCCTTGAAAAACAAGTCCTGTGGCGACACGGCACCCCAGAGAGAATTGAGTCTGATAATGGGACCCATTTCAAGAATGGCCTCGTAGACACCTGGGCCAAAGAGCACGGCATTGAGTGGGTGTATCATATCCCCTACCATGCACCAGCTGCTGGAAAAGTTGAGCGGTGCAACGGATTGCTGAAAACCACTCTGAAGGCACTGTGTGGGGAGACTCTCAAACACTGGGAGCTGCATTTAGCAAAGGCCACCTGGTTGGTCAACACCCGAGGTTCCATCAATCGAGCTGGCCCTGCCCAATCAGAACTTTTGCATACTGTAGATGGAGATAAAGCCCCCGTGGTACATATGAGAGGAATGTTAGGGAAGACTGTTTGGATTAGTCCCACCTCAAGCAAAGGCAAACCCATCCGAGGGATTGTTTTTGCTCAGGGACCTGGTTCCACGTGGTGGGTAATGCAAAAAGATGGGGAGACACGTTGTGTACCACAAGGGGACCTAATTTTGAGTGAGAATGGTCTGTAATGTTTCATTGTATATATATATATAGATAGATAGATAGATAGATAGATAGATGTATATAGTTTTAAAGGGATATAGTTTTTAAAGGGGGTTAATTTGGGCATGACATGGATGGCATAGAATAAGGGGTGGATAATGTCCTAGTTAGGACAGCTGAGATCAGTTCATCATGGTGGGTGTAACCCAAAAACTGTATTCTATAGCCTTCCATGTCATTTCCCAGAAACTAGACTATTGTTGTCAATAGACTATTCGCACCCTCTACCCATAGAGCCTGACTCCTCAGGCTATAAACTAGGTGTTAAGAGGCCTGTGAGATAGGAAGATGTTTCTGTCCTCACACCCTTTGTGAAACTCCCCGCCCTGAGGAGAGTACCAAGCATTCCTGCCTGAACTGGAGGATATATAATCTTGGAGTTTTGGAACATTTTTCAACCCACTCGTGGGATCCAGAGGACGGCTGCATCTCATCGCTCTCAACCAGACTTAGACCACCACTGGACTGCGATCACCAGTTCTGCCCAGACTGCAGCAGCTCTCCCACCAGCAGGTTCTTCCCCTCTCCCTTTACTTTGGACTCAAACAGGGCCCAAGGAACACCACTTTGCTCAGGCCCCAGGGCACTGGGTTATACATTTGGGTTTTTGTGGGTTGAGACCAATTGCTTGTTTGTATTATTGTACTTACTGTATTATTTTAATAAATTGTTATTCTGACTTATAATCTCTCCTTTGAGTTGGGTTCATTCCCCCTGCTGGTTAACTTTTAAACCAGCACAGTGACTCAAGGAGGAAGGTGGGGAGATTGTACCTCAGTGTGTCTTAACCAAAAAGGGTAGAAGGAATGTAGGCAGACAGCGCATCCTTCATTAAACAAAATAGTATATCTGAGAAAAACAACCCAGCTTTAGGGAAGGTAAGCACTCCTTCAGGTCTGAAATAGGAGCAACTATCTCACCAAGGTACCTATGGGTAAGAACAACTGGGTTTATGCTGATCCTCTGAATGATCTGAGATAAATGATAGGCTGGTATCTGCAGGGCAGGCTGGAGGAGGTGAGGAAGGGGAGGAACATTAACTAGGCAGAGGTGACAAGACTGAAAGGAGCCAGCTCATCCTTCATTCCTTTTCTTCTCCGGGGGGTCCCAGTCCTGGGAGGTCCTTCCTTGTGCTGAGGAGCAATGGAGCTGCGTCCTTGCCCCAAGCCTACAGCTCTCTCCCAGGGCAACTCACACAAGGAGAGGACTGGGAGATGCTGGGTTGGCTTTGCCTTTAAAGGAATAAGAGACATTTATGGTATTTCCAACAAGTGAAGACAAGAAGACCTAGACACAGTAGCAAGTCAGTTAGTACTGGGACACAGTCACAGGGCAGAGGACAAAGGAGGAGACAGAGGGACATCTGTTATAAGAGGGATGCCATGATGGTGAAGGAGGGAAGCAGAAGAGCTAGGGAAGACAAGGAATGACTGACAAAAGCACAGTGGAGGGGGATGAGAGAAAACATGATGAGTTGAGAGGGAGTTGTAAATGGCTGACAGATTGGGAAGCTCTCTGTAGGTGGTAAAAGGAAATTATAGAAAAGAGGACACACTTTTCTAAGAGAAAGGGAAAGATATTGCAGCTAAGAGAGAGCTTGTAAACACTGAAAGGGTTGAGGGGAAGGCACCTAAGCAATGATCCTACCAAAACAAGGCTCTGGTCTGGTCTGCCACAGCAGAAGTATTTTCTCTGACAAAAATGATTCAGGGATCCAGAAGGAGCAGTTTAATCATAAAGATACATCTAAAAATCCTTAAACATTTTTCAGTCTAAAAAGAAACCCTGAGATGCACGAACTGAAGAATTTACAAATGGGATAGGATTGGACTATCAAGAGGATTTTTTCCAAATATAAATAAATACACCAGAAATACACCACACAGAGCAATAAACATATCCTGCAAAACAGCAAAAGACACTGTACATTTTCAAAGCACTGTCTTATATCTGCAGGTAGCCCCTGGGCTGTTTTCTTGTTCCATCTTCTTTGAACAGCTGTGGAATTACAGGAAGAGAACCTGGACAAATGTCATCTCATTAGAAGACATTTAGGACTTGCGTCTATCATTCAGTATGAATTAAAACCTTGGAGATTAAATTGCCCACTGTCCCCAGGCACACACTGAGGAACATCTCAGCAGAGTTTTCACCTTGGTAGCGTGAGCTGGAGCCATTTTCTTGTCCAAAGAGTCAGCCAAAAAAGTGGTCTTAACCAGGGAAAAATTGTAAAATAGCCATATTTTGAGTATTTGCTGTAATATGTGTGCCTCTTCTCAAACTTTGGCTTTATGTCATTATTGAGTTGGAGGTTTTTAAACTATGACCCTAAATCTTACTGTCCTTACCCCTTAAATACAATAATCATACTTAATACGGAGAAGGACACTTAGCAATTGGCCTAGAGTTTTAAGACTTCTTTTCAAGGGTGTTATCAATAGTCTCCTGGCAAAAGAGCTCATGGCTTTCCTTCTGATGATGGTGCCCAAGTGACTCTGTAGTTTAAGCAAATAGCTTAGCAAATGTATTTCTAGGCAGTCATCCTCTACACCGTTCCCTGAGCAACGATGTCAGAGAAACATGGTAAATGCCCCCCAGCTCAAAGGATCCGATATATCTTCCTTCATCCTCCAAAGTCTGCGATTTTTAGTAGATGTCCAGTGCTAGTGATTCAGTACCTGCCCTTTTCCCCTTTCCACGTTGCTGAGGTCCTCACAAGGAATCCTGAAGGACAGTGGCCAAGGCTTTGCAGATAAGTACCTTTGTACATACCAGAGAGCCTAGCACTGCCTGCTACTAGTTAAGCAGGGAAAGCACTTCCATGGCTTACAGCAGTCAGACAGTGAGCTCTGTAATTCACATGGCTTTAGGTCATAAGGATAAGGGCCAAGATGGTACTTAATCCTCTGATCGAACATTCCACCTGATTTGTGAAGCGCCTCACCTGGGTCACCTGTGAGCTTGGTCTCCATCACATCCTGGGGACACAGACAAAACTTCTTGCCTGAGCAATTCCTTGGTCTCCTGGGACCATCTGTGCTGAACCTGCAAAGCTTCCCCACTCTTTCAGGGGCCACTGGCCTGTTTGCCAGCTGGGCCTCCACTCAGCTACCCTGCGTCTGCGGCAGATGGCCGGATCCACAGCCCGCGTGGTAGCTGCCAGCACCTTCCCCGTGAGCAGGAGATCAGATGGACTCTCACACATTGCCCTTCCTGGCTCTGATTCACACTGGATGCCTCAAGGTCAGGGATGGCTGAACAGAAATCATGGAGGCACCTGTCTTTTGATCTAGTTCCTGTGGTCTCTCTTTTTCCACCGTCCCTGCCTCTAGGGACTCTCCCCAGCCAAAAAGCAACAAGGGAGATGGGCCGTGCCTTTTGGCAGCACATCAGGGTGAAAGGAGCATGGGAAGGCGTAGGAGGTTTTCATGATGAAGCCAATCTCCTCTTCTTCCCGGTGCCTCACACATGCTGACCTTGTCGTTGCATTTTACCAACACATGCCCTTTTACCTGGCTTAGAGTTCATCCTTTATTTAATAAACTTTAATATTAAAAGCCACTTAGTGGCAGATGCAAGAAGGTCATCAGGACAGAGTCACCTCTGGTTGCTGACCTTACAGGGGTACGACCCTCTAGACCCTCTGTGAGAGGGTACACAAGGGGCACACACAGTCTGCAATATCATTTTGCATGTGGCTTGTAGCCACTTGTGGGGTTTCATTGTTGTTGCTCATTAAGAAAGATCTTAATACATTACTTATCCAAGGTTTTTGAAGGCCTGTTTAGCCTTCAGCAATGAAAGGACTCCCTGTGCCCATCCTAAATTGTGTAACATGGCAGACAAGAGTAACCTCTCCCTCAGTGCCTTTCACATAGTTCATACACAGAGGAGGAAGACTATTCTGTCCACTGAAAACTTTAATGTCTTCTGGTTTTGTTTCTGAGAAAGTTTGGAGGTTACATTTTCCTTAACAACCCACTGAAGTCTGAGGCCTCCACTCCATACTTAATAAATCTTGATGAAATTAAAAATACCTCCCCTGAGTAAAACCAAAATAAAAGCTGAGTAGAGTCTTTGGGATTTACTTTCCTTTTTTCTGATTTGCCTATGATTATCCGTGCCATTTCCGCTTTCACATATTGTTCCATCTGCTGGGTGTTAAAGGAACTTTTGCATTCTTTCTGCAACATGTCCATGTGAAGAAGACCAAGGAGTACAAGCAAAGGTCAAAGAAGTCTTGTGCTTTTCACTCTTCGTTGCTTTCAAGACTTCTTGTAGCTGTGATGCTCATGGCTGATGTCTTGAGCCCAGCCATGTCGAGGGTGGCTACAGAGATGTGGTGACCCAGCTTTTTTATTCCCTGCAAGATCAGCCTACAAGCTTGAACTGGGGCAGGCACTGGGAGCATGTCTTGTCCTTCATTAGTGATCCTCCCCTTGGGACCAGCCGGTCCCCTGCAAGCTGGCCCTGGCAGAATCAGCTCCTGCAGAGGGTACTAAAAAGGCAACAGCAATGTTGCTCTTCTTAGCTGTCCCTTATCCTGATGAAATCTGCCAGATGCACATTTGCTGGTGGTGTGGTAGATGGTCCTGTGCTGGGAGGTGAGGTGTTGAATGCCAACATGACTGACGGCAGTTGCCAGGCTCCCACTGCTGATGAACACCCTCGGTGCCCCTCATGCAATGATGACTTACCTCTTCCCGGATTGGAGAAGAGGAGGCCTGTGGAAAGCACCATCGCTTGTAAGTAACTGCTCCTTTCAGCTTCAATGACATGTCACATCCATCCTTGAGCTCTTCCAAAAATTCCCTCCTGGGACTTTGCTTTCCCTATAACTCGGAGTGACAAGTGTTGGCAAGGGGGGAGACGAGGGTCTCGCTCAGCCTCAGCTCTGACGTGTGTAAATGAAAAGGCTGGGTGGTAGGGCTGGGTGAGGGTAAGGAGAGGGCTGTGGCAGAGTAAATAAATTGCACCCTGCATGTGTTATGCCAGCGGGGCTCCAGAACAGTTCTGCAGGCTTTTGTAAATAGGAATTTTCCTCCTCGATCGCTCAGGGCAGTGCTGTCA